ATGCCTCTCCACCCCTGAATTTTTTGGAAGGTGAAAAATCAAAAATGACAGCGGATAAAGGGGACTTTCCATAGGGTCAACCGTCTCTCTGTCAATTCCTGACGATTAGAGGTCATGCTCGCGACTTTTCAAAGGATAGGGGTTTTCGCTATAAATGGGATTGCATTTTTAAAAGGTAAGGGGCGAAAAATTTGCTGGCTCTCTAATAGTATTTCACGAAAATTTGGGACTTTCGGAGATGAGTGAGTAGGCTTCAGGAGGACCCGGACTACCACTACGATAATACAGGATGGATGAACAGAGTGATGGTCGTATGGGAACCTCTTCCATCGGTCGAAGGCGGTCGACAGACTACTTGAACTCGGTCCTGTCTCCTCAGTTTGGTGCTCCCGCCTACGCACTCTCTCTTAAACGGCGACTTATGGCTACTGTAATTCCACTTCCAAAATTCTGTCATAATTAACGAACGCCCACCCTGGAGCACCAGCCCCCCTGAGACTTAGTTCTATAGCTTCCATCTTCTTCCTAGGGATTTGGAGCCCAAGACAGGCGCCGTTCTCTAATCGTCTGTTCTCTCCGCCGATCGTGGCAGGACCTACAAAAAAGTTCAGGTAACCGGCAAACCAATCCAAAGGAGGGCCTCCTGACAACGGAACTGTCCAAGAAAATAGTTGACTTACGCTAGGTACCAGTGAATACTTACCTCGTTACGTTGAATATTCATCGATGTATTGATACCGAGCGGTTGTATGGAGCCTCGAAGCACCTCGGCCGATGACATATTGGAATCTGAAACACACGATGTTGCACTTTTGATACATAAGCTCCCATCGCCGCCAACGCCGGACGATCACTGTAATATTCTGACATAAACAATAAGGGCAAAGAAGAGTACTGTATAACGGATGCGTTTGCTCGGCATTCTGAATGCATGCACATCTTAACTAAAGGTGCCTCTGTGAGAGAACAGTCACAGTTACGAGCCAGACTACTGGATGGCTTAGAACTTTCAGTAATTTAAAAAAATGAACATTAACATAGAAGGAAATAGTGAGTACGCAAGCTTAGAAATCCCTTCGCTGCTAAACGGGTGCAAAATGGCCTATCCCTTCCTGTGGTGACTTATGGTTGCTTCATTTCCTCTGAAAAGCATCGTTAGGTAAGATTCTATGCGATTGCTCGAATATTGAAAAGCACAGAGTTACTGTGCACGAAAAGTTCTAAGGTTTCAGATTCCACAGTCGGTAAATGATTTCGTAACTATCAAAGCAGAAGATGACGTGAAACGGAATGGTGTGGGCGGTGTCCGGACATAGTCGCTCGGCGATTGCGCGACGTCGACAGCGGCGCCATCCCTCCACAATTGAGGACATCACGCCGTTACAACCACGAGAAGCAGGAGAATAATTGTCGCTTCCAAAACGGACTTGGAGCGAACAGTTCTATGATTGCGCGAGCGCGACAGGAGGCGGTCCGAATGGTAGGCGTGGAGAATGACGCATGGGGTTCGTAGTAAGGTGATTCGGCCTTTTCGTCGAAGGACGCTGGTCGACCAGCCGGTTGGATGGCTGGCCATTTCGGGAGTTATCAGGCAAACTAGACGTGCGTGTCTTTGCAATATTTGATAAGGTCGCTATGGCACGCGGCAAAGTCAACGATGACGATGAATGCTTGATGAACCAACAACGACATTTGTTCCTACAGAAAAAGCTTGTGGAATTGTAATGAAACGGGCCATATTGGCACCCACGACTAAATGATGAAAAGGGTCGAAAAAGCTTCGGCCCCGGATTTTAGCTAAACTCATTTCAACAGAAAATCGTAAGAAAATTTTTTTAGAAATCGTAACAAGGCCTGGAAATTCTACCCAGACTGATAACAAATCAAAAAATATTCATTTTCAGGGTCCGCAATATTCACTTCAAACCTTCGTTTCGAGGAATCCTTCACAACAATGAATTCTAAAAGTTCCTTCATGAGCCAATAAATAGAAACAACGTCAGAAAATGAAATTATAGGTTCCTAATGATATCAGGGAAACAGTTAGTAGTACAATAAAATAAATACGGAAGTAATCTGATGTGTACTAGAGCTAATCAGGTTGCACAGAAAGAAGGATCACGGTTAAGACACCGATCCTTATCCAGAAGCTATAAAGGGCGCGGCGCAGTTGCATGGCCAGATTGTTTTTCAGGGCTTGGGCCTGTTCCTGGTTTGACGTTTGGAGTTGCTCTCTGCTTTTTGTTTTTCATCGAGATTGTTGAAAACCATCAAACCCGTCGAAAACCCCATCCCAATAATCGCCATACGTTAGCGCCACGCCCTAACTAGCTGTGGGATATGAATAGAAGTCTTGAACGTGATCCAATTCTTTCACCGCAATAAACTCAGCTTTTCCACGTCTCAGTGTATTCCTGCAGTCATTTCCTTTTCCTTGATGCAATTAAGGGTAAAGCATCCGGCTAGATCAGTTCCTTGTTGGGATGCGCCACGCGCTCTAGCTCACGCTTCTAGTACGTTCGTAGTGGCAGCCGTGCCTGGCCGAGCAATGACACAACGACTTGTGAAGGAAGCAGTAGACAGATCCTTTTTCCTCTACTCTCTCTGCCAATTCTAACAATTCTAGTAGCAATCAACAGAGCAGGTAAGGATGGATGGCTTAGTTTTTTTCTGATGGCGTACGATCCAAGATTTGATCTTCAGGCTCGTGATAGGTGGCGCACTTGCCACTGCACCACTCCCGCCCACCGTTTTCGTAACAAGAATTGAGAATTTTTGAGTTTACTAAAGGCGGAGTTTACGGTGGAAAGACCGCCCGTTAGGAAACACGGAAGAGGTAGACAATAATACAGGAATGAAAAAAGAAACACGAGAAACGGCCTAGAACCCAGCGAAAAGGATTCCCTTCTGCTCGTAAAATTCGTCATTGATGTGACCCTCACTGCCCTCTTCAACGCTAACGTTCTCTCTCTCTCTCCTAAACGGTTAGACCCAGATGGCGAGGGGTAACATTTCGGCGGGCGTGCAAAGGCGCGAGCGACAAGGGTACGCCACAGCTAGGCCGCTTGAATCATATGCTCGCTGTAGAACGCGTAGCGTCATGCTACCTCAATGTCCGCAGGCCTTTCCAAGAGCTACATTTGCCCTTTTTTACCTCCGACCTTATCGTGGATCCTCCTTCAAGTAGGAGGTAGACGATGAAGCGCCAACCAATAATCCCCTCCCCGGGTATGCTGTAGCCCGGCTCTTAAAAAATCACCGAAAGCTACATTTTATAAGTGGCTTATAATGTTAGCATCCACATAGGAGCTTCGATTGCGAAAGGCCAATAAACCCTTCCTCTGTTGGATTTTTAGTGATTGGCCCGGAGACAAAATAATATTTCTATTCGCAGGGATGCGAAAATTAGTCTAATTCATTGGATGTTTAGCAAAACCAATCCCGCCTAGGTGTTTTTAGTTCTGCGACTTTAGCGACTCTCCAACCCACAATTAAAAAGATCATAATGAAAATAAGGAAGCAAATCATCATTGAGATATAACGTAGCGCACTTGGTCGTGATGCCACAGCAAGAATGCTCAGATTGTTACATTCGAGAAATTTGCAATTTGCAGGGACGCATGTAGGGAACGCAAAACCATGTTTCATTTTAGCGGAACGGTTATAGCAGTACCAAAAAAGAAGCATAAGGTACAGTTAAGGGTTCGATCCCCCGTGGCGACTAAATTTTGCAATCAAGGTTAGCGGCCACTTATTGGCTTCAAAATGGCCCTGACGATGAGTTTGACATTTGATTTTGATATTTAGCGCGATTTGGCACCAAACCATAGGCGCCAACCCAAATGCAAAATTTGGTCGCTACGGGGGATCGAACCCAGCAGTACCT